TTATATGAAACTAGGACTAAAGCTAAAACGGAACATGAGGTTTGTTTAAAATGTGATAATCGGAATGAAACAAATGGTGAATAATAAGCAAATCAATTAATTAAACATTGGGTATTGGGGAGCTCTTTAGGGACAATGGATTAATTTATTCAGGACTTAGCATTCATGAACTCAATTCACTATTTTGTAATCATCCTACTCTCGCACTGACAATTACCTACATTCAAGCTATGCAATTATCCAACTTTCGCAAGATAATTGTGAGTCTAAAGATGCAATTTTCAGTTTGGATTTGATATGTTCACTCGATTCCACAACACAACTCTCGTAAGATATGAAACCAAGCTCCCTTAAACAAGATACGATTGGTAAAACAAATGATGTTCAAGTAAAACCAATCTAAGTTCAATCTCTAGTTAGCTATTCTAGATCATGTAGTAGAAACGAGTTTAAGAAAATGATGCAGCCAAGTTTTCTCAAACTAATAATTCTATTTATCAAGCCATGAATTTCCTATTGAAACATCCCTTAAACCCAACATATCACTACTCAATCATAGATATGAAAAGCAAAGCAAAAGCATAACCCAATTCCGTATTCATAAAAACAGTAGTTAAAGGGTTTAGAAAACTTCTCCAAAAGTGTATGAGGAAGTGAAATTTTCTCCCTTATCGAACAAACTTTAAGAAGCAATCGAACAATTGAATAACTAAGAAACTTTGGAGACTTTAAGGTGAAGTTTTGGGTGCGGCGTGATGATCTCTTCGTGGCTACTGAATCTCCTTTTTATTGGAAAAAATTCGGACTAGGAAAAATCTTTTGAAGATTTGCAGAAAATCTCGAAAATGGAAAATATCTTATTTTTCCGTAATTGGTGATCGGTCGATCACTGTGTAAAATCATCTTTGCTTCAAAACCAGGGGCTCTACGCCTGGTCGGTCACCCTCTAGTGTCTGGTCGATCACGGGTAGATATTCTCGAATCGCCTTTACCTTGATCCTTACTCAAACATATTTCAGTAGATCGATGATATCTCAATATCTAACCGACGGATTGTGGCAAACGAATATTTATTTTGAAGTTGAGATCTTTCTCTATCTCGTGGTAAAATATGAGCTTTATCTAAAAGTGAAAACATTTTCATTTGGAGTGAAACATCTGACGGTTAAAACCCCAAAATTATTAATTTTTTTATTAAAAACATATTAAATATAATATAAAAAATGGATAAAATATCGTATATATCAGTTAACAAGGGTGAAGGACATACAAGATGATGTAAGCTTTTTTACCTTTAGCTTCAAATTTTCTTCAAATCGTTTTTTTAAAGTTAATCCTTGAAATTTAAGCCCTTCTGGTTTTTTAAGAGAGAGTTAGGAGATGATGACTCTGATGGAGTGGAGAAGACAACTCTAATGGAGATGGAGGAGATGAGTCTAATGGAGATAATAGAGGAGAGTCAGGAAATGATTGTGGTGGAGGTGGAGGAGATGACTCGA